TGCTGGAGGCAAAAACAGCAAACATCATGTTCATGTGAACAGTCATCATGATTAACATAATTGAAGCTATCTAATGGATTAAGCTAATTTCGTTAATGGTCCCATTTACAGGGATCAAATTATTAAGATTCCTCATAGCAATATAGTCCCATATAGTGCTTTTCAGTTGCTTGTGTATATTGTTCTCTGAAGCAAGTGTTAAATATCTTTCCCATATCTATGCTTGTAAAAGCATGTATTTTGATCTTGGAAAATAAAATATTTGCAGGATGAAGTAAACAGGCTCATTGATGTGACACTTGGAGAACGAGAAAGGGAGATTATACGCCTTTATTATGGTCTAGATAAGGATTGTCTTACATGGGAGGACATTAGTAAACGGTGAGTAATAAAACTTCAATTTTTTCCGTGAAAAGTTTGTACCCAAGTGATGTATAAACGCTTTGGTTGGTAATGCATTTATTGTTAAGGGGCTTATCAGAATGATGGAATCTTAATTACCACCTAAGTCGCCATCTTCTGGAAGCTGGAATCATATAGTGTTTATTTGGGAGAAGTGCACACATTACTTCCAAGGTGGTTATACTTGGAAACAAGACTGTCAAATTGCTTCCATAATTTGTTAAGAAACCTTCCACTTTTTAGTATAATTGGAGCATGAAATGCTAAGGTAGAGAACTGGTTATGGATGCTGGAGGTTCCATATTTTTCCAGCATTGAACTAATTTCTGTTTCTAGTTCTGGTAGGATTTTAATTACATTCAAAAGGGTAGCGAACCAGGATCAAACAAGCATGGGTGTAGCGTGGTTGATGTATAGCATCATAGAGAGTGGAGGAGTCCGCATATACACATGGATATATTTGCACAATCATGTATATATGTATGCACTACTATTTCTATTAAGAACAAATCGTAAAATGTGTTTAATCAAGTTCAAGAACAAATCATGGTGAATTCTTTTTTTGCCTGAAGGGCATCATAATTATCTGAGTCAAAACTTTGGCATTAAGATCATGAAGAGAATGTTGTGCTACTTTGCCAGATATAGCTTTTAGTCAAATTATGGTGACGTTATTTAGGATCAAGTGTATTTACATCTGATACTTTTCTTTCCATTTCCTTTTCATGGAGTTTATGTAACACTGGTTAATTGGGTTGCTTCTGCAGCATAGGTCTGTCCAGAGAAAGAGTAAGGCAAGTGGGACTTGTGGCGCTAGAGAAACTAAAGCATGCTGCAAGGAGGAGAAAAATGGAGGCGATGCTAGTCAAACATTGATTTTTGTATATTTCACTGTCAACAGGACTGTATATATATACAGATGAGGAAATACTATATCACCCATTTCTTTTCCCCGCCTGTAATGACACTATACAAGCTCAAGAAAGAGCCAGTGAGCCTCATCTTTCTGTAACCAAAGTGATTTTAAGAGCTTGTAAGTTGGAGGACAAATTTATTATGATGTATAAAAGAGCATACAGGTTATGATTTCATCTCCACGGAGTATATCAACAATACTATTAGATTGTGTATATTACTAAATGGAAGAGTGGATTATCAAAGAAAATATAACACTACATTTTTAGGAGTTGCAGGAATCTGAGTTATTTCATAATTTTTGACTTTTTGTTTTAACTTTTTTGTTATGAGAAAAAGAGAATTTGGGAAAGTAATGTTTCTTTGCCAACGAGTTTCTTTAGGTAAAGAGTATATTTTTCATTTTACTATTTATATGCACATATGATATTCTCGGACCATAGTAAATGTTCGTTGACGAAGCTGTTAATAATATAATTAGTTTTGTTATAATAGTTATCTATACTCATTTTTATGTCAAAAAGTCTCTTTCAACTCTTATTATGAAGGGAAATGCAGCTACATTACTTTTCGTATGTGGTAAAAATACCAAACCAAGATAAAAAAAAAAACCAATATCTTTTCTGTAATGAAATGTGCATAAAATTCTGAGAGTTCAATTCCACAGTTTAGCTACTGATTTGGCCACTAAACAAAAACAACAATAACAATAATAATATATAATAATTCACTTACACCTAAAATCTTTGTGCAAATAAAATCTGCATTATCGTGTTATTAAGCTTTTTTAAAAAAAAACCACTCTATCAACCATTGAATATTGGACAATTGGCCACTTTCGAGCACCGCTGGGATGATGTAAGAAATGATAATCCAGTTAAAAGATATCCATTGCTAGCATCAAGCAACAAGTACAAAACTGTTCAAACTTTCATTAATCAAACATTCTTTCAGCAACAATCTAAGTTTAAACTACAATTCTTTTACAACAAAAACAAAAAAACTGGTTATTTTAGTTCTTTATACATAATCCCTAAAGCCTCATCATACTTAGATTTACTCCAACTCACTGACTTTCAGTGTCTTCTAGCAAGAGAACTATAATGCATCTTCAACAATTCATCAAGTGATACCAGGAACCAGCCCTCCTCTTTTTGTGCGAACACCTTTTGATTTAAGGAGTCCACTATTATGCTCACATTTCCAAAACCATATATTTGCTGGCCATCATGCATCCTGCCAGGTTTAGGCCTAAATAGCAGTTCATTCTCTTGTGCATAGGTTTCAATAACTTCCTTTATACTCATCTCAGGAAGACCATCCATCTGAGCAGCAGCTTGCGGCTGAGCGCGTGCAGCTGCTCTTTGCTGAGCCTCAAACTGTCTTTGCTCTTGAGCCTTAAGATAACTGAGATTTTCCCTTAAACCAGGTTGCACCACCTCCACACCTTCAGCTGCCTGTAACATCATGTCAAGACCGCGGGTAAGCTGATTCCGGATACTTTCATTTGCCAGAAGCTCTTGTGGAAGAAGTCCCTTCCATCCCATATACCAGTTGTTGATCTCATCAAAGTTCGGATTTGAGCACAACCAATGGTACAACACTTGCAGCCACTTAGTAAAGAAAAACCTCTCCATCAAATCAACCATAATATGAATAGGAATGGCAGAAGCCCAGGACATGACCCAATAGAACTGGTCCAGCTTCTGACTTGCAGGATTGATTTGAAATTCCTGCAATGCAAGCTGCAACTTTGGAACAATATACCTGCGCATTAATTGTTCCCAACTCACAGGATCAAAAACAGTGTTGCAAGGGGACAGTATAGTGTATGCAGAAGCATCACTGGGATGCCAAGC